TTTTTTTATAAAATTTTTGAAAGTGCGAACAAGATTTTCAGCTGCACCATTTGATGCAGGATTATACGGTGAAGTTTTAATATGAAAAACTCTATTTTTTTGTAAAAAATCTTCCATCTCTTTCGAGCATAAAGATGGACCATTATCAGTCACAAGTTTAGCAGGAATGCCCCAATAAGCAAAATATTCTCTTAAAATTTTAATAGTTGAAGAAGTAGTTATATTCGGCATAAATTTCACATACACCCACTTTGAAAAGGCATCTATAATCACAAGAAACATTCTTTTATTAACAGGACCTAAAAAATCTAAATGAACCCTAAGAGATGGACCATCAGGCCAAGGCCAACTATGTAGAACTGCCTTTGGAGGATTCTCACTATGAATCAAACAAAGTTCACATCTTTTTGTAATACCTTCAATTTCTAAATCAATTCCAGGCCACCAAATAAAAGAACGAGCGATACTTTTCATTTTAACAACACCTAAGTGAGTGCTGTGTAATTCAGTTAACAATTCAGTCCGAAATTTAGACGGTATTACTAAACGATGCCCCCAAAATAATAATCCTTGTTCAATTGAAAATTGATCCTTACGGTTAAAATATGGTTTCAATTCTTCAGATACCTTTTTAATGTCAGTAGGCCACTGACCAGTGAAAACGCTAAAAAAAACTTGTTTAATAATAGTATCTTTTTTAATTTCCTCACAAATATCTAAATCAGAAATTGTTTTAATATTTTCAGTGATTAAATTAATAGAGTAATTATCTGATTCTAAAATATTAGAACTCGCAGTGGTATCTAAAGGAAGTCTTGACAATGCATCCGCATTACCATTATCTATACCTTTTACAAATTGTATTTCATAATTATAGCCAGATAAAAATATTGCATACCGCTGTAACCGATTTGCTATCATGACAGGAATACCTTTTTTAGGACCAAAAATAACTACTAAAGGCTTATGATCTGTTCTAAGTATAAATTCACGACCATATACATATTGATGAAAATACTTAACTGAATAAACTATAGCAAGAGCTTCTTTATCTATTTGTGCATAAGCACGTTCGGCCTTATTTAATGTCCGGGAAGTAAAGGCAATAGGCTTTTCTGTACCATCTGGTAATTTATGAGATAATACAGCCCCAATACCAGTAGGACTAGCATCACAAGCTATAATGATAGGCCATTTTGGATTATAGTGGATTAATATTTCATTAGACAAAATAGCACTTTTAATTTCATTGAATGCTTAGTTTTGGTCTTTACCCCATACAAAAGGTATATCTTTCTTAAGCAACTTATACAAAGGATTTGCTTTGGTAGACATATTACTAATAAACTTACCATAGTAAGTTACTAATCCTAAAAATGCTTTTAGTTGAGTAACACTACAAGGTATAGGTACTGATGTAATAGCTTTAACTCTAGCCTCAGGAACATGTAAACCATCTTTATCTATTTTATAACCCAAAAAAGTAACACTATCCTGGAACAATTTACATTTATCTTTTCTCACAGTCAATCCTACTGAACCTAATCTTCCTAACACTTCCCTAAGTCTTTTAGTAACTTCTTCTTTAGATTTTCCAGATATTATGATATCATCATAAAAAGCAACTGTACCCTCAATATTTCTCAGAATATTTTCCATTTCACGCTGCAGAATACCAGGAGCTGAAGCTATACCATATGGTATACGTTTAAATACAAAAAGTCCTTTATGTGTAGATAAAGTTGTTAACTTTTGTGATTCCTCATCTAATGAAAGCTGTTGATAAGCTTGACATAAATCAAGAACACAAAATTTGAATGCACCCTGCAAAATTGCCATTAAATCTCCTACTCTGGGTATAGGATATCTGTCTATTTTAATAAATTTATTAAGTGTAACCTTATAGTCACCACATAATCGAATTTTACCATCACTTTTTAAAACAGGCACAACAGGTGTAGCCCACTCTGAAGACTCTATTGGAATTAATAACTTTTCACTGACTAATCTATCAATTTCCAAACTCACTTTATCTTTCAATGCAAAAGGTAACACACGAGGCTTACAAAAAATAGGTTTAATGTTTTCATCTTTTAAGAATAATTTAAACACTTTAGGTTTATAACATCCAAGTACATCTCCAAACACTGAAGGAAAATCTTCAAAAATATTTATTTCTGTTTTTGATGAAAGTGAATAAACTTCCCCTTTAATAGGTAATGATAAATTCTCAATCCAATCTCTACCGACAATAGGAGGACCACCTTCTTTAATTATATACAAATTCAACACTTCAATTTTTCCATGAAATTTCACACTCACTTTTAAATAACCCATTGGAATAATTAAAGTACCAGTATAACCTCTTAAACTTATATCACTTTTTTGAATATCTTTCAATTTAAGATTCACTCTACATGCATCACTATAAGACAAAGCTGTAATTGAAGATCCAGTGTCAATTTGAAACTTAATAATAATTCCACTTACATCTAACTTGATATTAAATGGTTTAATAAAATTAACATCAACAGTCTCTAATGAAAACAAATTATCAATATGCAAATCTTCAAAATTATTTAAAATATTAGACTCTTCTAGTATATTAACATTACCAGCTTTACTTTTAGCTTTACAAACTTTAATTAAATGACCTACTTTAGAACATTTAGTACATGTTAAATGCTTATACTTACCTACAAAATGGTTTTGTATGACCTGCTTTGCCACAACAAAAACAAACAGTTTTACGGCCATGACTTGAATTGTTCGTTGAATCCTTTTGATTACCTATTTGGTATTGAATCTGATCTGTGTGCTTTCTTTGACTTCCCTTGTCCCCATGGTTGTCTGTTTTGCTTAAACTTCATTCCTCGCTGATAATTCAATTCCTGTTTTTCCCAATGAGACACATCATTGTTCGCTGCTTCCATTGACAAACAAAGTGTAACACTTTTTCTAAACGTTAACTCCGGTTCAGACATTAAACGTTTTTTTATGTTGTTATCCCTGATACCGTAAACAACTTGATCTCTCAATGAATCATCCAAATTACTACCAAATTCGCAATACTGTGAAAGTTTTTTTAATGCAGTCACAAATTGACTTATAGTTTCTTCTGAACCTTGTTTTCTCTCCTTAAACTTGTAACGTTCAGTTAGAACATTAGGTTTAGGATTAATATAATTAGATAACATTTCTTTTAGTGTGTCATAACTTTTATCAACTGGCTTAAATGGAGTACAAAGATAACTGACTAATACATAACCGTCATTGCCCAAAAGTGTTAAGAACATTAATTTCTTTTTATGAGAATTAATTTCATTTAATAATACATACAATTCAAAGCGTTCAATCCACGAACTGAAGTCGTCAACTTTCAAATTAAATTCGGAAATGGTGCCATTAATTTGCCCTTTGCTAATGTTACCATTACCACTACCGCTAGAAGCCCGCGTAGTTGCACCGTTAATGTTTGAACTACTCATTATAACACTTTTTATTTTAAACACTAAGCGTTTTAAATTAATATTACGCACTTAAAACAAATTATATTTCATTTTGGCACGTGGTTTCCATACTCTACTTCGTCGCCATTGTTATGTTTTT